TTTTATATAATTAAATAAAGGTTAAAATATTACTCGACAAATATTAATTATAATGGATATCAGTAAAATCATTGTATAAATTATTTAAGGAAAAAATATTTAAGATCATATCTTGATAGTAAATGTAAATATGCAAGCATTTAATGCATATAGTAAAAAAATTTCAAATAAGATATGTATTAAATGTTTGTTACTTTTCTTGCTACTATTTTTGGTAAATAGGTTGACTTTTAATAGATATATAGAAGATATGCATGTCAATTAAACATATGCACCAATGGAAGTATCATCTCTAATTTCCATATATCATATTTTACTATAAATATGTTTGTTATAGTATTAAAAAAAAATTAAAGAGAAAGAATTTAGTGAACATATATATGTTTAAAAATGTTTGAATCAAAATAGTTATTAAACAGAAAAGAATTCAATATTTTAATTAACTTTAAATTGTTATTTGAAACAATTTTAATTGTTTTTATTATAAGCAATAAAGGTGTTTAGAATAAGACATAATATAACTTTATGGAAGTAACATAATGTAACACTTTTGAGTTTTGAGGGTAGTAATGACATTTTAGATTTTATTTACATGTGGTTGGATGATATAGTAATGAAGTTATAATATTACCATAAATTATTTTTAACACATTAATATTAAGAAATTAAAAAAATAACTTACAAACATTTTGTAAATAACAAAAATCAATGAGAATCATAAGTGAATTGAATAAAATATTAATAGTAAAATAATAAAATTAGAATAAATAAGATTCATACATTATGACAATTGAAAAAAAGCAGTTAAGTAGATAAATGTTTGGTTTAAATAAAAGGTCAGATCAATGGATCATTTTTTTTAATTATTTTATTGACTTTGCATTACAAGAATTTTTAATATTTGTACATGCAAAATCTTAGTTATGTAGTTGTGCCAATACATTCATTTAAAAATTTGGATACAAATCAAATTTTTTTAACAGATTATTATTATAAAAAAAGTATTAATTATAAAATGAACAAGGAATATTATAAGAAAAATTGAGTACTATGTTATCACATTCATGCTTTAAAACGCTTTATTGAAACGTTATATTAACTCATGTGTTTTAATATTTCAATTATTGTTATTAAAATTTAAATTGTTAGTTGAAATAATTTTAATTGTTTATAGGCAAAATAGCAACTTAATACACGACCTTTCATCGTTTTGCATTTTAATCATAACCTTTAAGAATTGGTAATTTAATCACTACCTTCTACATTTGTTGCAAAACGAACCACGACTGACGGTTCCGTTCACAGAATGCTGACTTGGAACTGACGGAAGTGTCGACGCGTTGACGTGGCCATGTTGTCTCATTGACGTGGCGATGCTGGAATAAACGACGTCGTTCGACTGTCCATTTAACTTCAAATCGTTCCCAAAATTTTTCATTTCACGCACGCAAGAACCCTAATTTCCTTTCTCTTCTCAGAACTCAAAATTCCTTTCTCCATTTTTCTGCAAAAATGTCGTCTGAATTAAAAATCTGAATAATATTTAAAAACCCTAATCCCTTCTAAATCCCAAAATCCCTAATTTCTATTCTCATTTCACATCTTCGAACGCACCCGCCACAATGTCGTCTGGTTCGAGCGATACTCGGTGTGTAGTGTGTTTCCATGGAGTCAACGCAGATGTTTTAACTTCAAACACAGAGAAAAACCCATCACGGCGATATTACAATGTCCATATCGAAATGTAAGCTTTTCGATTTCGAAAATATCAATTTGGTGAATGGCTCGACTGCTTGCATATGAAAGATCGAACCTTTGAATTTGTCAAATTTTGAAGATTTTACGATTGAAAATTAGGGCTATTTGATTCTGTAGATTTTTGTACTATTGTTGATTTTACATTTGAAAAATTAGGGCATTTGAAAATTAGGGCATTCTGAAACTGAAAGCTTGAGGATGACTGGGAAGCTTGTATAGTTCATACCCACAAAAACTGATCTTGAGTTTGCCTTCCTTTTAGTGCATTTATCTTTTTTTTTTTTTACTTTAATATTGATGAAGAATTCTTTGTAATGTGCCTTCATTCTGCAATTGATGAGTTTGCCTTCTTTTAGGATAAGGACTGTACATACTTTAAATGGCTTGATGAAGAATTACCTGCATTCCAAAAGGCTAGATTTTTGAAGATGAAGTCTCAGAGTAATCTGTTGGAGGAGCAATTAAAGTGTAAAGCAATTTCCGAGAGTTTGCTTGCTTAGAAGCTAGAACTGAAGGAGAATGAAATTCAAAGGCTACAAAACAAGAATGAAGAGTTGGAAGAGCAATTGAAGTGCAAAGCAATTTCTGAGAGTTTGCTTGCTGAGAAGCTAGAATTGAAGGGCAATGAAATTCAAAGGCTACAAAACAAGAATGAAGAGTTGGAGGAGCAATTGAAGTGCAAAGCAATTTCTGAGAGTTTGCTTGTCGAGAAGCTAGAATTGAAGGACAATGAAATTCAAAGACTACAAAACAAGAATGAAGAGTTGGAGAAGACCATTTATGGAATGTGCAAGAGAAAGAAGATTGAGAGAAAATTGATTTTGTTAGATTTACTTTTCTGTGTGGCTATGTATTGTAATGGAGTTGGCAATGGAAATCAAAATGGAAATGGTAGACTAATGCTTAAATAGATGTTGGTTTTGTTTTATAGTAGGTAAATGTTGGTTTTGTATTTTGGCAGGTAAGTGTTGTTGGTTTTGGAAAATGGTAGACTAATGTTGTATGATGCTATTATGTAATGAAAATGACAGTTTGATGTTCTTTAAGGGGCTTTTTCTTTTATAAAGTTGTATATGGTTCATTAAATTCTTTAAGCTTCATTTTGTTTCCATGATAACAACCAATAGTAACAACCAACCGATTCAAGTTTTTTAAGCTTCATTTTTGTCTATGATTCTCCATCATTTTGTTTCTATGATAACAACCAATAGTAACAGCAACAAAATCAAGTACAAAAGGAAAGAAAGATAAAAATAGATATTCCACTTCAAACTAATATCCATTATATCCAGCACACAACATTCTTAGAGTTAACAGTTGTAGATCAATCAAAATAGATCTTCCACACACCAAATACAATTCTTATCCCAAATTCATACTTCAAAATACCAAGTACACTGCAAAAGGTACACCAATTCAAAATAGGTCTCAAAATCAAGTCCACAACTACTTCAATCCATAACCAGACACAACTACTTAGCCACACTCTCTTGAGTGCCTAAAACAGAACAATCTTGATTTTTCTTTGATCGGCTCCTGGTACTAGGACTACCAACAGAGTTCTTGGATTGACTTCTGGTAATGGGAGCATTAACAGGGTTCACCAAGTGCACTCTTTTGTCACTTGACATCTGCAAATATAGAATATACAATAGCATTTAACTTAAGTGAATTGGACACAACATATCTATTAAGAAGAAGTAAATAATAGCTAACCCTCATGTAAATCGATCCTGTCTCTTCAGAAACAAACACACCGTATCCCTTCCTTGCCTGAAATAAAATATAAACATAAATATAGGGAATCAGTATACAAGTCATTTTATTTTAATCAGTTTAAATATACCAGTGCTCTATCTTTTATTGTTTGAGCTTTGTGGATTTCATTTTCTTGGATTCCAGTTCCTCTGGAGGGATTTTTCCTCTTTCTTTCTCTTGTTGGAGGAGGTGCAGTAAAGTGGCTATTGTCTTGTGTAGGAAGAGGTGCAGTGAAGTGGCTACTGTCTTATGTGGGAGGAGGTGAAGTTAAGTGGCCACTGCCTTGTGTTGAAGGGACAGATGGAATATTCTTAGACCCACTAGGCAATTCATGTATCCTTGGTCTACCTCTCTTTGCCTAACAAAGAAAAAAAGTGTAAACAATTTATTACATACACAAAAAGACAATGAACAACATAAAATGCACAATATACCTTCTGAGGCTTGGGTGCAGCTTCTCTTGTTGTGTCCAACTTTCAAGCATTTTTGGCATCTCATTTGCAATCCAAAACGTTTCAATGATGTAGCATTCTTTTTCTCCTCTTCAGGAGCTTTCTTTCTTGCCATTTTAGGTCTCCCAGGCATTTTTTTAAATGGAGGTGGTCTTACTTTTTCCCCAGTTGTCTCAGGCCACATTTTTTTTCCATTCAAAGGTTCAAGTGAAAAAGAATAGGCCTTTAAATACCTCTCAAGGCTGAAGTAAGGATGTACAAAGGCTGCCACATCTTTTTTCTGATAAAGAATTGCAGAGCAGGCATGGACACAAGGAATCCCAGAGATATCCCACTCTCTACAGGTGCAACTCATCTCCCTCAAGTCAACTACAAACTGATCTTCTGAAATTGCCACTTGAAACTTGTCACCCACAGCAGGCTTAGTATGACACAACCTACTTTTGTACTTAGCCTCTTCAACCTTTTTCCTAATCCTAGGACATAGCATATCACTCACAGCACTACCCAACATGAGTTTCTCATGGTGTCTTTCCATAACATAGGTTCTAATGACCTCAAGCATCTCCACAATTGGTATTTTTCTAGCAGCTACAATGGTACTATTAAATGTCTCACACACATTGTTCAATATCATATCACACTTGGGTAACTCTGCAATAAAAGCCTTACAAAATCTAAAGGTTTCTTTGTCAAGAAAATCCTTACATGCATCTGGATCAACCACATTTAACTCATCAACAGCTTCCTTGTAGGCTACCCGGTATGTGCTATGCACTATCCTCCAATATAGGTCCTTCAATACTTTCTCTGGGTGCTGCTTTTTCCAATTCATATACACATGTCTAGCACAATTTCTGTGCTCAGCATGTGGTGTGAGTTCTTTGATAGCTGCAATAAGTCCCTGCAAGTAGAAAATAGAACATAAATTACAATTCTAAAACTGAAACATGAAGTGTCCAACCCTGAAACATGAAGTGTTACAACATAAATTAAACTAGAAAATGAACACTGAACATGAAGTGTACTAACCTTTTGTTGGTCACTAATGAATGTCCAACCCAAACCATCCTCTATTCTAAGCTCTTGAAACAATATGGTTAAGAACCACCTCCAGTTGTTTTCATTCTCTGAGTCAGCAATAGCCCAAGCCAAAGGATATATTTGGTTGTTCCCATCTTTTCCAATTGCACACAACAACACACCTCCCAGAAATGTCTTTAAAAAACAACCATCAAATCCAATTATTGGCCTAGATCCTTGCAGAAACCCTTCCCTCAAAGCACTGAAGCCAACAAAGAAAGCCTTGAAAACATGTCCTTCTTCTAATAACATTTCAAATCTCCCATTTCTATCCACCCTCTGCAACTCAGCAATATAGTTTCTGAGGCACCCATAATGTTCTGATTCATAGCCTCTTAGAATCTCAAGAGCTTTGTATTTCTCTCTGTACAACTTCCATTTGGATGGTTGTACTCCAAACTTGTCCATAATAAGGTCCTGCATATCTGAGGCCTTTATACTAGGTTGTTTCCTGAACTTTTCCAAATACTCATTTGCTACCCACTGAGAAGTTGCTTGTATGGTCCTAATGTCCCTAAAGCATTGATGCTCTGACACCAATCTTTTGATGGCAACTCTACCCTCAGATTGAACTAAACTGCCATACAATCTCCATGGACAACTATCAATACATCTTGCTTCAACTTGCTTTTGACTGGTTCTCATGAATTGAATGTTACACCCATTGTGAATGGCACTTTTTTGAATTGCACTTTTCAACTGCATTACACTGTCAAACCTCATACCCAACACAAACTGTAAAGTACTGTGATCACACTTAGGGTCATACACTACTAACTTCTTCTTAGAACTAGACACCCCAGCAGAATCATCTTCAACCTGTCCATGTTCAGAAATAGGTGAATCAGTGTTCACTGAACCATCAGAATTTTCATAATCTGACTCCAAGTCTCTAACAACTGAACTTTCCTTAATAACTTCAGCATTTTTGGATTTCTTAGACATTACCCTATCCCTCCTTGCAGCAAGATATTCCTCATCATCTGTCCCCAAATTATCATCAGAGAGTCCATCCTCACTAGAATAATCATCAGACTCATCATTAGATGGAACATAATCATCATCATTTGAGCATTGTTCAACATCATTCAAATTTTCATCCTCTGGAGGGATTGCAGCACCTTGTAATGTACCGTGTGTTGCACATTCAGTTGACTGTGTATTCTGTGCACATTTATTTGACTCTGCTTGTTGTGAACATACATACACATACACAAGCTTTTGCGAAGAAGATAACTGCTTTAGCACCTCCATGACCCCAGTGTCATCATGTATTTCTTTGTACTCATCTGTGTCTGGAATTTTGTAGAAAATCTTCTTCCAATCTTTACAACCCAACTTGTCAATTTCTTCCACCAGATCAAAGAAACCAAATCTATCCAAGTCTAGTCCATGAACTAAATGAATATTATCACCAAAGAAATCCAAGAAACCATCAATATTGATCATGTACCCTCCGTAGTTGAAATAGATTGCGAAAGTATGACTGCAACATTATGAAGAAGAAGAGAAAACATGTCACAGAACAACATCATTAAATTCGTGATTTAACTCGAAATAATATCATTGTCCAACAAATCCAGAGAAATGACAATTACTGAATCACTCGCGTTTCTCAGATCATGGAGATGAGCTCGAAAAAAAAATACACAGGGATGAACATTCTCATCATATTCAATTTCGAAAAAAATAATACCTGTTGTCCATTACACATAAAATTTCTTCTCAACTGGGGCTTTGCCAATCCTTCACATCTGCAACTTTGGGATTTTTGGAGATTTGAAATGAGAATGGAAATTAGGGATTTTGAGTTCTAAGAGGAGAAAGAAAATTAGGGTTGCGTGAAATGAAAAATTTTGGGAACGATTTGAAGTTAAATGGACAGTCGAACGACGTCGTTTATTCCAGCATCGCCACGTCAATGAGACAACATGGCCACGTCAACGCGTCGACACTTCCGTCAGTTCCAAGTCAGCATTCTGTGAACGGAACCGTCAGTCGTGGTTCGTTTTGCAACAAATGTAGAAGGTAGTGATTAAATTGCCAATTCTTAAAGGTGATGATTAAAATGCAAAACGATGAAAGGTCGTGTATTAAGTTGCTATTTTGCCTTTCTTATATTATAAGTTGTAAATGTATTTAGAATAAGACATAATATAACTTTTCATAAGTAATATAATATAACACTTTTGAGGGTAGTAGTGGCATTTTAGATTTTATTTACCTGTGATTAAATGAGATAATAATGGAGTAATATTATTACATTCATGTCCTTAAAAAGTAAATTCTCTAGAGAGTAATATGAATTTCAATTTTTTTCAAGAAATGACTCATCCTTTTAACATAGATTATAGACAGATAGAGATTATATATTATAAATTATAGATCCTCCCTATATATAATTCCACAATGCGTTGAGCCTACGTGGTTGCTTCTGGTGCTTCGGAATCCTACTTGACCAAGAATCATGCTTCGTAGTTAGGTTGGACAAATAATATTATATATTAATAATTAATAATCTAGGTTCGGGCATTCCATAAATATTATTTAGTTAACTTAGGTATTTTAACATCAATTGTACTAATATAACCCTTTAATTCCTTGTAATTTTAGATAGTGAGTCACTAAGAGACTAATATATCCCTGACTTTTGATTTGTTTCCTACAATTAGATATTGAATTGTAAATGTATTTTAAAAGTTGATAACTTTTGTATTTCTTATCGGTTTTACATATATAGTATATTAAATTAATCATCGATCTTCGATTTGACATCCATATTGTATATATGAAATAAAATAAATTATATTTATCTTTATAATAATAAAAATTAATTATTGTTTACTAAAATTCATTAGAAAAATAAAATTATTTCTCAATTTATATTTATGTTTAATGTAGTTATATGTTGTAAGTTAAAAAAAATATTATAATATAACACAAGTAAGTCGCACAAATAAAAGTGTCATACCAAATATAATAATACAAATATTTTTAAAATATATTTAAATTTTCAACTACTTGTTTTCAGTAATTTTAGATTTTAAGAAAAAAAATTAGCAAGCACCCGTGTAATACACAGCATTGTACTAGTTATATATTACAGATGGATTATAGATTGTAGATTATAGATTATATCGGTTTTGCTATGAAGCTAAAAGTTGACTTCATAGTTGAGCCAACCTTCTATATACAACAAGTAAACCTACCATATTCTCTGATTACTTAAATAACACTAATATAATTTTATTAATATCGTTTGGTTTAATTGTTGTATATAGAAGGTTGACTCTACTATGAAGCCAAATGTTGGCTTCATAGCATAACCGTAGATTGTAGATATAAATTACAGATAGTTATAGACATAGATTATAGATAGATAGATTATATATATAGATTATAGATGATCTTGCCAATTAGACTAAGCGAACACTCCTGTATTCCGGGCTCAATATCGGTTTCTGCTATTTCGATTTCTGATCTTTCTTTGTCGGATAAATCGAACTTATGAAGTTTGTCAATGACTTCGTGCTCCATAACTGCTAGAAATGAACACAAACTCGATGAAACCTCCCGAACAATCTGAGTAAGCACTGCGATCCTGAAACCCACCGCTGCCCACACGAGATAAGAGGCTCATAAAAAGGTATTACCCTAGGAAAAGACTAAACCAAGCTATCCAGCAGAAAACAGAAACCAATAGAGGATAAGAAATGACGAGAAATTAAAACGACAGACAAAGGTGAAGATTCCACACACGATCGAAAGAAAACCTTTCTCTAACGGGGGCTTCCAAGGGGATGGAACGAAACTGACCTTTTAGTTGGTTCAAAAATAGTTCTACCGTCTCCTGAACATCATGATTATGAGGTGGGTTGTGGATAGTGAATTTCATATATTTCGACTGAAAAAACACACCAAAATCATGTTAGCCATAGCAGAAGAACCAACCACTCAAGAACCATTGTAATACTAAAATTTCAAAGTGGATCGTGATATGGTCGTTAGTAGCGGCTCATGAGGAACCGGTTGTGATCCAGTCATCTATGCCTTATGAAGAGGACCGGCTAGACATTGTGGTAGTCGGGTGGTTGGGTGAGTGCCCGGCGAGTGGTGAATGTTCGACGTGGGGTAAGTGTCCAGCATGAGGAGTGCCCGGCGTAAGGGGTGCCCGGCATGTGGAGTACCCGGTGCTAGGTTCTCGGTGGGAGTGCCCGGCGCAAGGCTTTCAGTGACGCGTGTTCAGCACCAGGTGCTCGAACTTGGATGGTGTTCGGCGGGTGCTCGATCTTGGGAGGTGTCCGACGGCCCTCGTGCGCTCGGCGGCCCTCGTGTGTCGTCGAGGAGGTTAGAACCTGAAGGTGGCTTTGTGACCAAGTTACGAAGGAGTTAATAGCAATAAGGACTCTCGGGATTCAGAAGACCTTTAACCTAACTAAGTGTTTTATACGAAGAAGACTTCTTATCCCACTGGGACTCTCCAAATTTCTCCTATAAAAGGGAGCAAGTTCATTCATTTTACACAACACACATACACGAGTTATCTCGTTACTCTGCCATTTTCTCTCAAGCCTATCACTGTCTTGAGCGTCAGAGTGTTCTCGCCGGGACTACCCCCGGCGTGCTTTGCAGGTACCGACGATCAAGGAAGTGCAACCCGGTTCGAGAGGAGCGGTCCAACGGTTCAAGTATTTGTGGTATAACAAATTGGCGCCGTCTGTGGGGACAATCGGTCTTCTACCAGAGTTTCAGGGGCTGTTTTTTCTCACTAAAAACGAAGAACGATAGGAGTCATGGCGGGAGACAATTTGAAGAAGAACTTGACTAAAGAGATGGATGAGGAATGGGCACGGAGGGCCTTCGGGACAGGCCCCCCGTCAGGATGGTTACCATCGCCGGTCACCCCCAAAGAGACGTTGTTAGGCCCAAGAGTGACCCCTATACCACCATCAGAAGCTCAGAAGCGCGCGGCGAACTCGGGAGGATCTGATGGTATGGCGGACAAAGCGAAAGAGGCTGGTACCACGGTTGATGGAGGGGTAAATCAAGTTGTTTTGGGATCTGGGGTTGCTGGTGATCAGAGTGGTGCCCTTGGTAGTAGGCAGTTGGTCGTAGTAGGAGCACAAAACCCTCCGGGGGATAATGTTTCTTCGGCACCACGGGAGGACACGATTATTCAGATGACCAGGTCAGAGTTGGATAGGATCATTGTGGAGGCGATAGGCCAGGCTCAAGAGGTGGATAAGAGAGCTCCCAATGAGACGTTTAAACAACCTCCGCCGCGACAGCCACTAACAACTCAACAAAAAGCCCCCTTGCAGCAGCAGCAGCAGCGCGTGGAGAGGGACGATGAGGAGGATGCTAGGTCAGTGACCTCCCACCCGATGGCGATAGAGCAACCGGATAGGTTAACTTTGGAGAGGTTGGCAGCTCAAATGCGGGAACTCCAAGCTCGGGTGCAGGGTAAGAGGCCTGTAGTCTCGCGAGGACACCCCTTTGCAGAGGATGTCTTAGGAGGAGATTTGCCTAGCAACTTCAGGGAGTTGAGTTTGTCCTATGATGGATCGGCGGACCCAGCTAGGCATTTGAGATCGTTTAACAACATAGTCGTGCTGCACAGGTATAGTGATGTCATGAGCTGCCGAGCCTTTTTGACGACCTTGAAGGGGTCGGCGCAAGATTGGTTCCACCAGTTGCCGGCAGGATCTATCGATTGCTTTGAGAAGTTCAGCTGTTTGTTTCTGAATCAGTTTGCGAGTGCCAGAAAGCATGATAAGACGTACCTCTCGTTGATCAATATGCAGTAGAAGGAAGGGGAGACGTTGCGGCAGTATGTAGCGCGGTACACTAAGGAATGCGTGGAGGTCCCCTCTGCCTCAGAAGAAATCAAAGCTGGAGGTCTTACGCGGTGTCTAAGACCTGGGAAATGCAGGGATTCCTTGGCGAAGCGGCCGACAAGATCATTTGACGAGCTCTTGGAGAGGTGTAGCAAGTATGTGAATATGGAAGAATCAGATGCGGACTCCATCCAAAATAATAAAATAAAGGGTAAGCAAGTTGAGGAAAGGCCTCGACAAGGTGATCGACGAGCTCCCCTTAAGGAGTCTCGAGTCGAGGATCGATTCAGGGGTCCGAGGTATGAGCACTGCAAACTACTTAATGCTCCACAATAGGAGATCTTGGAGGTGATGGAGAAGCGGGGGGAGGATAAGCTGCTCAAACAACCAAAGCCCCTACCC